AAAATATACAATTTTTTCGTAATTTTTAAAATCCTTAAATCAAAAGTATTCATGGTGCCATGTTTATTTTTTTTGTACTCTGTACAATCGTTGAAAGCTATGTATGCTTGAAAATGTTACGCACATTATATATGCTATTTTCAAGTATTACCCACGCTATTTTCAAGTTTTGAAATAGTTGTTATGGGATATCACGGTCGATTAAGTCTTTCAATTATCCCCTCAACCAACGCAAGATTTCAAGTCTAGTGATCTGACTGGCTGGTCTTTAGAGAAAAGCGTCATCTCACGATATTTTTTTTTTGAATTTTTTAATTACATTTCTTTTAAATATTATTTTTTATTATTCCACAATCCAGTTTTCATGAAATTCTACTGCTCAGTATTTTGTAATAACTGATAAAAAAAAGCGAACTTTGTCATTTATACTTACAGATTAAAACTGACTAATGCGGGTATCTATTACCCATTCCTTATTATAGACTAAAAACGGTTTCTTAATTATCAACACGCTATACTAATCCATTACTAACCCATTGATGCTAATCTATTACTTTCCCTTTGATGCCAGGCCGCAAATGCAGAAATGATGTAAAAAGAGCAGTCATTGAGAAAAAAGTAGTACATCCCAGAAAGCATGTAACCTTACAGTAACCTTGTGTCAGAATGCTCTTATCATTGTCAAGAAAAAGTTTGCGCTAAAAACCTTTTTTCAGTACAGCAAAATGATTGGTTGCAGTTTCAAACCTTTCATCCTAAAAGGGTTAAAAAATATTTTTAAAAAGTATTGTCACTTAGGAAAAATGGTCACTTAGGTCCATAATGACGTTTTAGCTGACGTCACACTAACGATAGGATCAAATTGGATTGTCCATTAAACTTTCATGACAAGGTGGATTTTAGCTGAGCATACAAGACGTTGCCAAAAGACGCCTTATAATTATCAAGATTTAAGATTATTTTCTCCTTAAGATAAGCTTTATTCAAGGATTTTTTTCACGCTTGAAAACCCTAAGACAACCTCGATTTAAGGTTTTTATATAGAAGGTTATTTTCCAAGGTTTTGGATTAGGGTAATGTGCGTAGCATAGAGCAGATTGTCACAGATCTCGTTTCAAGATTTGAAGGTTTACACGCAAACCTCAGAAAAACCTTTTTAGGTTCACAGTAAAAGGTTTTTGCTGAGTGAAAATAAAACTTATTTTGCTATCTGGGATATTTATTACGACCAAGTGGATATTTCTCACTGTTATCTATTGTTTTAAGATCTGAAGAAAGCACAATATTGTCATTAAACCCAAACATAAATTTGTTATGGTAGACAAACATACTTGTTTGGTCTAAATAAATACTGATAATGAAATACTTGTATCGTCCCTTTCTGCTTTTTTGAAAAAAATGAATCCTTAGGTAGAAAAAAGTCTAAGATGGTGGTCAGAAACTACATTATCTTTTTCACCACAAACATGTTATTATTTCAGTTTAAAGAGTTATATATCTGTAAGTCAGAGGATTGCACCATCTCCATTTATTTATAAAGTTTAGTTGATACCGTGTCCATGTTGTAGATTCGTCATTCTCTCTCGTGGTACGGGACACTTTGTTCTGTCATGATGAATGACGAAAAAAAAAATGCCAAACTCGAAAGGTAAAAATAGTCTAAGATCTGCTTCCATTAAAAGTTGCATTTTTGGAACATGGTGCCCTTTACCGAATATGCAGTCAACTTTCAGCATTTTTGATTTTCCTCACAGTTTTTTTTTAATTTAACAATTGTAAAAGCAGTTTTTCTTTTTCAAAGTATTTCTCTAAAAAAGAAATTTTATAATTAGGTAAAATTCAATACATTGTTTGTGATGATGAAAAGAAAGTTAGAATCTTGTTGGACAAAAAAGATGATACACCAAGTTTAGAGGTCATAATATGTACTGCCGAATTGAGCGATGAAGTCAAATTTCTTGGAGAAGAGAAGCACGTCAGCATTCATTCATTTGAAAGTGTTTTGGTAAGAAAGAGATTTTTTGTGATAAAGATGTAAAATTGTAACCCCTTTAGATCCAGTGAATGGAGACAGACATACTTTCCCTAACCAGCTTGATCTTAGGACATATAAATGCACGAGACTGGGCGTTTTCATTTCATTTAAAAATTCATATAAAATCATTATTTTCAATTTGATACGCTAAAATTTACATTTTATTTAAGGAATAGTGCCTGAATATACTGTAATAATTTGCTCCCGGTATTTAAGAAAGCAATCGCAAAACTGACCCAGAACGTACAAAATATTATTTAGCAAAGTGTGAATGACAAATCTACACCCACCTAAACAAATAAGCATTCCATCCTTTTCCCACACAGTCGAAATAGAAACAAGAGACCCAGAGCTCAATAATTCACATCTCCATTGTCCAGTTCTTCGGAAAGAGCCGCATATATGCTGCTATTTACATGTTTAAATACTTCAGATAAGGAAAAAAATACTTGGAACTGAAAGCGCATGTTGAAGCTCGACGCTCTCGGAGACATTATTTAAAATTAGAACTGACTTCAAGTACTATCTAATGTTGCTTAAGCATTGATTGTTGTTGTAGTTCATTTACGTCGCATTAGTGCTGCACAATGGGTAATTGGAGACGATCTGGAAAGCATCCCTGAGGATGATCTGAAGATCACATACCATCACAATTTTGTTGATCCTCTGCAGAGGGGATGGCATCCCAGTTTCGGTAACCCGACGGCCTGTGCGTGATGTCGAGTACTTCACGATAGAATAGTTTAAACGAAGACTGATACTGTGCACACTAGAACCCTATGCAGACTATGCGGGTGGTCACCCACCCGCACACTGAGAGCAGGCAGTGATGCTTGACTTCGATGATCTGCTGGGAACTGTGTCTTAACGATCAGTTCACTGCGGGACCTAAAAATTGAAATAAAACTTTCCATCACATTCGTGTGATACTTAGATGCTAATGACGGAATGACTTGTTTCATACATGGTGCCGTGGGCCATGACGCATCATGTATGAAATCGCATTTATCGCGGAATGAAAGAGGTCAGAATTTTAGTTTTGCTGGTGGCTGTTGCCTATTTTAGTTTCATTTTTATATGTACTGGGCAGTGTGTAAAGAGGTTCCACTCTCCTACCAGAACTTCTAAAATGCGAAGCTTTTTTCAAAGCTTGGCCGAAGAGAAGAACTTACTGACCAAATAGGTATAGCATCCCGATGTGGTATTAAGTTTTACTACTATAATTAAACGACCGATTTGTCGTTTTTTTGTTATTTTTTTCCTATGCCCACCTTGGTTGTCATTTCGTCAATTCAGTCATATTAGGGCAGATTTGTTAGCCACTCTTTCAGGGGCATCATATTAGGTGGGCCAACTTTGCTCCCAAAGCAAGGACAAATAGTACAGAGAGTGAAAAAACATCCATGCCTTGTCCGGGATTCAAACCCAGAACCTTATTCTGATGCAAGGAAAGTTTCCTGAGCACTACACTATCCGGTCGGCGTTATTATTATTATTTGCAATTGAATTTGGAAAATTCGCCAAAATGATTTATTAATTTGTTTTGCTTTAATTCTGTAAATGCTTGCATATTTTTTAAAAGATTTTGAGCATCAAGGGAGAATAAAGTAAATTTTTCTTAACACCTGATTCAAATATTTGAAATTACAGTTTTTATATTCTGAAATTTGTTTCCATGTTCAATGTAATACATGTATACTAATGTGCTTGGCATGCACATTTAATCTTTTTTTAACTAACACTCGGATTAATAAACATTAGAAAACCTATTGCCTAAAGCCCTAATGGTCAGTTCGGATAAATATTGATGTGTCATTGTCATTGCTTATTACATTAATACTTTTTAGCAAATTATATCGGAGAACAAATTTTTTGTTGTATTTGTACAAATACGTGATCTTGCCTAGTTCGAGTGTTGAGATTTTAAATCTGAAACTAGTTTCGCTCCTAAAGCTACAGAATTGTTTTAAAAATGACATTTTTTGAGTCTATTTTTATATCGAAATATTTTTACATCGATTCGAACCCGGTTCATCTCACTGAAAGGCGAACGCTCTATCCCCAGAGTCATCACGGCTCAAAAATGCCAATTTGTACAAGTGTTTCGAAATTTACCGGTAAGTTCTCTTTTTTTTATGAAATCTCCCAATTTTCATAAAAAGTCCTTAAGTATTATTCACCGGTGCCTGCATGTCAAGCGTATCATTGTTAGAAAATATCTACATGTTTATTTATGTGATTTTAAATTGAAATAAGAGAGCTTAAAATGAGTTGATATATTTCATTTATTTTTAAAGGACAAAAATGCTAACAAGAATTTTGTTTTACGTTTCTTTCAGGATCTAGGAAAAAAGAATCCTCATCCAATAAAAGTAAGTGTATCTTTGATTAAAAAAAAATATTTAATAAAAAATTACTTAAAAACAAAATAATTTAATAAAAAATTTTTAATAAAAAAATTAGATGGTAAAAAAAAATTTAATTAAATAAAATAATTAATAAAAAATTATTTAATAAAAAATTTTTTAATAAAAAATTATTTAATAAATAATTATTTAATAAAATATTTAAATATTTCCTAATCTCTTACTAAAATTAATAGTAAGATTTTTACTTACTTTTAATCGAAAGGCAAGTCTCAAGTTCTTGCTAATTTCCATCTTATGTAACAATAACTTTTGTATTTTATCATAACATATTGTTATGAATACGAAGTCGATTTTCGAACTACTACTATTCAAACCAATTAAGGCACATTTATGGTTAAGTATTATCCCTAGCAGCAGTTTTACCTTGGCCCCAGTTTGGCTTGTAATTGGCTCAATATGGGTCTTATATGAACATGGACTGAGGGACCGATATTAGGATGTCTTGATTTTGCAATATTGCTCCGATATAGGACCAATAACACCCATTATGGGTCTAATATAGGGCCTATATTGGATGAATAATGAATATAAAACATCGGGTAAATCTGATAAATGGTTATAGGACCGCTATTGGCTGTAAAATATCGAATGAAACGGACAATTCTATATATGGCCAATATCGGAAAATAACGGCCGTTAGAGCACTTATTGTGCCAAGATTGGTGAATATTGGTCCAATGTATTTTGCTGCTGGGATGCATTGTAGAATGAGAAAAGCAATGACGAACCAATTAAGAAGGAAGTTGTTAAGAGGGGTATATATTAATAAATTACGTTTTATAATCTGAATTAGCTAGATCGAATCGACCAGTAATTTATCAGTTACATATACTGTCTAAATGTACTAAAATGGTACGTCGCAAAAGCTAGATTGCGTCCTTCAGGTTGGTAATGTTGGCCGAATCTGTCTGATACAGGAAATCAGTACTTCTATGTGGACAAACCAATTTAAGAAATGAAATATTTCCTTTAAATTATGATTTACCACGTTTAAAAAATATTATTGTCTTTCAATTTAGTTTGAAAAAAAAAGCAACAGCACGGGAGGAGAACTTTAAACCTGAATTATTAATATTTTCATAGGTTAGAAATATCCTCTTAATGATCACTTATACATCTTTTGCTTGTCTGTTACAATAATAAAATCAATGAAAAGACATGAAATATTAAGAGAGTTTGAAACAAATATTATTTTATTTAAAAAATACATGAATATTGCACGGCATTGAAGTAATTTCAAAAGTACAAAGCCATGCTTTACGACCTTAAAATTTAGTTTGCCATTCCCAGGCTTCTAATGAGGTGATTGCTCTTACTACGAACTAGGATATTCTATGATTCTTATTCCACAAAAGGACATACAGTAATAACAACGCTCTTGACAACATTAAATATCAATTTGAGCCGTGATGGCTCAGGGGATAGAGCATTCGCCTTCCTATGAGGTGAACCGGGTTCGAATCCCAGCAACGGCTGGTCCATACGAATTCCACACCCGGCTCGCACCGACCACAGTGCCGATGTAAAAAATATCCTCAGTGGTAGACGGATCATGGGTTAGAGTTCTCTTGCCACCAGACTAACCGTGAGACGTTTTCTTGCTTTTCCTCTCCATTTAACACAAATGCGGTTAGTTCTATCGAAAAGTCCTCCATAAAGGTGAATTTTTCCTAATACTTGATCCAGGAGTTCCCTTGTCTTTTTTATTGGGTTCAAAATTACTAGGTTACGGATTTGTATAGTAGTCACAAACCCAAAAAATTGGAACGGCTGTTCAACGACTGTTATAAAATAAAAGAAAAGAAAGTATCAATTGAGCTAAAATCCTAATTATGATTTCTCAAATTCTTTCCTTGTCAAGGCAATTAAAACGCGTTTATGAATGTCCATACTTAATATGTTACGCAACGCAAACGTAGCAACCCTGGATCACTATAGTTGAGATGTCACATCAGATGAAAATTAGACAATGAGCAAGCCTGTATACAAACGGCTACAATCAAGTTCAGCCTTAATAAGAGAAATGAGGAATTTTCAGCGATGTAATTTTTTACGGAACTGAATAAGACAAAACACGAAACAATTTGGATAAGTGTCAGAAAACTACAACTTTGATAATTATTTATGCACCTGTCATTGCCGTATAGACAAGCGAAGAGCTATTTTCTATATGCATTTTCTATATGGGTCATTCTCACGAAAACTGTCATTTTTCAGTTCATAAAATCCCGATCCCGAAAAAGTAAAGTGAATAAAAAGCTCTGAAACTTTTTACATTAATAGAAATACGTAATGGCATTATAAAGAAGGTATATATCCTATAAAATATACTTAATATTTAAATTAATTAATTTTTTAAATAATTAATTTATAATTAATTAATTTATAATAATTAAT